GGGCGGGGCGGGGTGGGGCGGGGCGGGGCGAATCTATCACGGAAAGCCTCTCTCAGGCGGGCAGGCGGGTCGGGGTGGCGGCGTTTCTAGATCAGCTGCTGCAGGATCTCACAATGAGACGCGCTGCAGCAGTGCAGCCTGCCTGTGACCTTTTCTCTAGCCGACATACGCGAAGCACCTAGAACCTAGAGAGGCGCTCTTTTTTAGGGGGATGGGTGCTCCTCTTGCGCTTGCTTAGCGAAGGTCTTCGACGAATAGCGGGGTTGTAAAAGACGGTCTAAGAAAATAGGGCATTTGAAAGATACGTGTGAACGTCGCCGATGAGATGGGACCTTGTGTGTAGTGTCGTGTACTCCTTGTGCTGTGTTGGCCGCTGCTAATACGCTGCCTTCTCTTGCTCTCTTCACACACACACACTCTCAACACACTCACTAACAGTAAGCAAAAGAGCGTGGGCAGGGATGGGCGGGCCGGACTGTGTCACCCGGACTCGCTGTCGCAAAGGAATGCGGTCGGCCCAGGAACGGGTAGTAATGTCCAGTGGGGGTGAAGAGAAAAAAAAGCGCACGCGTGAGTGCACGGACAGCAAAGTTAGCACTCTTTGGCATTTTATATTCAAGCAGTCAGACATGTATGATGCCATGGAATCATCTTTCCTCGCACTCAAAAAAAAGCTTTCATGTACGAAAACTGGAGCGTTCTGTTTGTTCCGGTTAGGTCCTTAAAAGTCGAGACTACGACGGACAGACGTCATGTGGGCTCGATACCCCCGCAGTTACGAGCACCGTCGACACACAGAGGCGCACTTATTCCGCCGCCCGTTCTCACTTCCTGCTCCTCCTTTCCCTTCTTCTCTCGCGACACCTCACTAATTGGAGCAAGTGCAAGTCCCGCTACACACGGGCGGCGGCGGCAGCGCAGCGGCCCCCCACACCAACCAACCACCACCACTCATATACGGTCACGATCATCTCCAGCGACACAAATCTCGCAAGCCTTCCGGCCATCATTTTCGCCATGACATTCGAATATAATCGCTTCGTGACACACACACACGCACACCTCGTGACAAGTTCAGGGCCGGGGCCAGAGAGGTGCGCCGCGGCTGGATTCGCATGCCTGCCCCGCCGCCCGTCGGGTCAGAACTGCTCCAATAACGACGCGGGGTCGTATAATGGATCACGGTCGTAAGCGTGACGAGTTTATACGGTCTCATCGCTGCTGCTCTCCACAGAGGTCAGGGAGACACACGAACCGTGCAAAAGTAGTCCGCAATACGCATCGAAGAACAAGGCGCGTTGTTTTGCCCATTTATTTTTGGCTGAGCGTTAGCGAAGCCTTTGCTGTCATGAGGTGCACGGAACTCTTTGGTTGTGTGTCTGTCTGTCTGTCTGTCTATCTACCTGAAATCACACACGTTTCTCAAAGACGGCAACTCCAATTGACTTCAAACTCCGCACGAAGCATCAGTATAAATCCGGTCGTATCGAGTTTAGTTTAGAAGTTTGATATAAGATGTTTGAAATAAGCGATCGTTTAATTTGAATTCGTAGTTTGGTGGTAGTAGGTTGGTAGCACGGCACTCTCACCTGAAGACTTTAATACCTTCTCAGCAGTGATTAAAATGTCAGATAGTCAAACCGAGTGTTTT